ATGGAAAAGTCTTGTATGCACGAAATGATTTGAAAAAATCTTAAGGTTAGTAAGAAATCTAGTAATTTTTAAGATGCTACAAAATAAATATGAACTTTGTGAAATAACGTTAATAGTTGTGGTTTGTAAATAATGTGACTTACCTAGCACATTGCAGTACAAAGCTTCAGTCAAAGATCTCTGTGAAGACTATATTTTGCATCGTTTTCAATTGGTGACCCTCTGAATCAGAACTCAAAATCTTAAGACCACTTTTTGATGTAACACGGGACATCACAAGATAAAGCTGACTGTGAGAAAAACACCTGTTTTTGCTAGCAGAGTCCTACATATTTCAATGTCTGCCTTGGGCTCTGATTAATAGTCATTGCAAATGCTAATGCAATTGGAAACTGTCTTCGTACCAGTGTAAAGTTCAAGCTCTTGTAATGAGTAGAGAGATAGGCGCGACAAGAAAGCTGTATCCCTAATATGTGTGCCATTTAAATATTTTAACTCAATAAACCATTGGCCCAATCACTTTACAACCATTCTCGTTCCATTGCAGAGACCTGTGCTTTGATCCATATTTCGAAGGAGAATAACGAGGCAGCCAACCTTCAATTTTAACTCATATTCAGCTAAATTGCCAATTCTGAGAGAATCCAAAAATTCAATTGAATAGTCACCATCAACAACATGTGTATCCTTAGCATCAATCTCAATTGAATCGGAGCTAAAATAGGTAACCTCCATGAAACAGACTTAACACGTAATTGTTAACCATTGAAACATTGTCATGGTGTGGTGCTAAGATAGCATGCTCAACCAAATAACTGTCATCATTGTGTCTTGTCACTAAATCAAGATAGACTACAACCACAAATATCATAAATATGATCCGACTTTCGTTCCACACATATTTCAGCTATAATAGAGATAATTGATTCACCAAAAGTATTACTATGTCTTGTTTCACCAATCTCCAAAAGCCAATTTCTAGATGACTCAATCTCAAGATTTGAACCAAACATATCATTACCTTGGGCTAAACACATATTCTGGGTTAACTTCAAAATAATCATTGACCGCCACAAATATGACCATTTAATAGACGAATTTACAAAATCAGTTCTCGTACCTTTGGCAATGATTGGCAGCGTTTGGCGAAAATCACCTCCAAAAACCACAGTCATACCCTCGAACACCATGTTCTCATAATCAACATTCTTGGTATTTAGGATATCCCTTAATGTCTTGTCTAAAGCCTCTATACTATGCTTATGAGCCATCAGTGCTTCATCCCATATAATAAGATAGGTAGTTTTAATCAATTCTGCCAAGTCTGAACCTTGTTCAATGTGGCATGTTAACTTAGAATCACAACTTATAGAGATGCAGAATCTTGAATGTGTTGTCCTTCCTCCCACCATTAGCAAAGAAGCAATGCCATAGGATGTCACACACAACACAAATTTTCCTTCTTGCCTCAATTTCATACAAATTGCTCGCCACAAAAATGTTTTACCAGTACCTCCATAATCGTCTACAAAGCAACATTTACCTTCACCCATGTGCACAGAGGGTAAAATCTTGTCAAAAGCCAAACTGTGTTCAACATTCAACTTCGCATACACATCATCCACTACACAATCAAAGTCATTGGAGGTACGACACATCTCTTCAACGACTAACCTATTCATATCAACTGATGCCATACACTGATTAGGAATTGGCAATCCTTGAAAATCAGCCAGAGTCTTTGAATACTTATGAAATAACTCATCAATCGAAAGTAGACACAGCTCTTTAATCATATCATCACCCAAGTTCAATTGTGGTAGGTTGAATTGTTTTCTCCTAGAGTACAATATGTCATCGTTAAGTACTATCCAATTCTTATCCCAAAAATATTGGACATAAGCCACTTGACAATGAATAAGAATACTAACAAAGAGTTTCTGAAGTTTATACCCTATTGCCCAAAAGGAAACTTCTTTCAAACAATCATTCCATTCAGAATCAGAATCAGCAACAAGCAAAACACGTGCATAACATGCTTTCTGAAATGTTGGATGGATAACACCATTCACAGTTCTAATATCCTCATAACTGGAAGCACCCTTCACGACATGAAACAACATATGCAAGTAGTACCTGTCTTGTGCAGATGGGTAGCAGTAATACAATCTTGCAATGCAAATTCCTTTCTTCCGCTTCTGCCACTTTTTCTCGAGCTGTTTCCATACATAATATTGTGGAAGCTCTGAAAAGGTGTATTTATGAGCTTCACTTGACTTAGCATTAAGATCCATCAAAGCCAACAACATTTTTTTCCTATAGGGTTCAAGAACATCTTGCACATGGGATTTTGGATTGGAATATACTGTATTTTCTCCAGGCAAATGATAAGATATACGTAACACTGAGGGAGACTGATTGTAAATATCAAACCTAAAGATTCACCAACACGCTTCACCAGAAGTAATATACCGAGCATCCATGAAGGCTTTAATTTCATCAATTTTGATAACTTTCTTTGAAGAAGAGCCACTGTCAATAGTAGATGTTTGTTCTTGTGCAGCAAATGTTGCCATTGCACGATCCTCAGATTTGTTGATATACTTAAACAAATATTTGACAGTCCTAAAAATACATAAACATATAGTATGACCTTTATACTTTATGTGTGTATAGAAAAGAAAAAAAAATATAGTAATAAACATCTAAATCCCAAGTTATATCTTTGAAACATGTGTAACAAAGTCAGAGATGGACAAATTTGCCATATCCTGAATGGGTGTCATACCATATATGACTGTATAAATATATTGTAAGTAAAAAACATAGTAGAAATTATAATAGTAGCAGGTATCGATTTTACGGAACAACCCATTGATTGTCGAGCTTCACACCTCCGCAATTGAATGTCAGACCATTATTGCGCCGACGGTATTTGGCAAAATCGTTATCATCGATTATAGTTTGACTGCAAAATTGCTTTGGGTAATGTTTAGTGCATTTACCAAACTTCATGCATGAATTGTTGGGACGTAAAGCACCGCATAGTCCATGCATCATAGAAGTCATCCATATTGTATACAATTCAGGATCCAGATCAGGATATGGGATTTCAACACATATTATAGAATCAAGGTCCATGAGGCTTATCCTCAGCCGCGAGAAATAGGAGTAGGTGTGTGTGAGGGAGTCCGCGTTTTTGCCATTCAATTGCCAGAACATCTGTTAAAATTTACCAACAATAATCAGAAAAATTAATCACAATGTTAATAAAGAAAGAACAGAACATATAAGATATTATAAATGGGATACATACATGCACTTATTTTCCCAAAAATTTCTTTATCTTTGATCTCCGTCATGAATTCATCCAGTTTAATCTTGAACACTCTTGCTATAACATCAGCCCGATTAGGATCCTGGCAGTGAAGTCCCTAATCAAATCTACCATAAGTTGAATCTCAAGCCACTTGGCATTACAAGTGAAGGTGATAAACAAATCTGGATATCCAATCCATTTGCAAATGGCCATAGCATTTTGGAATTCTCATATTTGTATCTTGGACTTCTAGTGTGGGTGGCAGCTAGAATAACCGGCTTTCCATATAACTTCATATCACTATCACCACGCAAATAAGATTCTACCAATCATTGGTAATGATGGCCTCTCAACTTGGACTGATTGTTACGCATCTAATCCAAACGTTCACCCTCAATTAGAGCATATGCATTAACGACATATTGTTAAAGCAATTTTGCATATGGTAACAAAGAATTTGATTCACCACGCCTTGTTTGAAGACGATAGCTATAATACTCACATTGTGATACCATTTACTCCAAACCACTTTTTCCATATGTATTTTGAGTATAACTAATACTTGGGTGCCATATAACTAATACTTGGGTGCCACCCATCTCCTCTATATGAAAATAAAATTGGATATTGCAAAGCTATTAGACTAGGATGGCTTTGCAATAATTTAACCTGCAATTCATCAACACCATATTGGCCTATCTTATCTCTTGCAGAACGAAAAGTACGTACCAGAACATTATTGGCATCAAACATTTGTTGAAGACCTTCAACAATAGATGCACGTAAGGGATTCCTATCAAGATCAGATGAATATAAGTCCAAGCGATTTTGCACCTCATTATCCGAGTCATGAATATATAATTGTGAAAATTTTAGACTATCACCTTCTGGAGGAACCAAACTGCCAATTCGATGATAAATCTGCCCTCCAATAGAATACACATAGACACCTTTCCCATCATTAATGGAATTATTCACTTTTCCTCTGATGGAAATAAAACAAAATACACCATTATAACCTCGACTGTTTGCACAAAAATGACGATTCCCAGCAATATTACCTTCCAATAAAGTCTTGAGAAATTGAGGAGGATCTCTACGATTAGGAAGCTTCACCTTACCATGCTTGCAACATATTGGAAATGAAGAAAACAAATCATTCCTTGTGGCCATAGTGCTCTCATAATGCCAAAACACAGCACCACAATGTTGACAGGTACATGTGGGAGCTCCAATATTGAAAAACTCAATTATTGGAATACCTATAACAATAACAATAACAATATACATATTCAGTCAAAAGCGTAACTTATCGCATCATGAGCGTATCATGATGATACATATCAGAAAAGAATCAAATACGAAACAAAAATTGATATATTGTACTCCGCATAAATTAGTATAAGAACCATACTCTATAAGATAGGAATAATTATACAAAAACTTCCCCTAAAATGATAGTACATAATTAATTACACTCCCTCATGTAATTTAAACATGATATACATACACAAAGGTCATTACTGGACATTTTTGTGAAAACACTAAAAAAAACTGATGTAACAAATATTGAGATCCCAATACTAATACATTCAAATACTGAAATGGAAAACACTACCATGATAGATTGTGTTACAACAATTAGAATGACCAAACTAAAATTATATGTTTGAGTTTTGATCGTGCCAAATATACATTGAAGCTTAAATAAATACATAATGCGAAAAATAAAACAATTGGTAGTCATATTATATTTATCTACGACATATGAAACAAATGTGAAATATAAAGAAAATACATGAATATAACATAAACAAACTTGGATATTTCCCCCTACACAACACATACTGTGATTGGAACGATTTTTGAAAATGGCTTGACGTCGACACTTTTGTACCAAATGAATACGGCAATACAATCTATTACGTTTAGTCAATATATTGACAAACTCAGTCTCCAACTGCACAGAACCTAATACAGTGAAAATTAGTAGAATATAAATGCATTTTCGATTATATAGTAACAACAGACACTGACCACTAAATTGCTGCATATATTTATCCCAGAGATTGAATGGCCTACGACTTCTCTTCCCTTTTAAAATGACATTTCTCCTCTGTCGTGCCAGTTGTGAAAGGGATCTGGAGAGCGAATTCAGTTCACCTTTCAACTCATCTTGTTCTACATATTACAATTAAAGATAAATTTAACATTATACATTTAATGATAAAAAAATAAATTGTGAATGGAGTATGCATTCATACATACCATTTTCAAACATTGCTTCTTCCTTAGCAGATAGGAGAAAGCGATGCCCTCATCTTCTGGATCGTAAAATAATACCCTACATTTCCCTGAGATACATAAAATTTAGTGAACTATTGTATTGCTAATGTAACACTTTCATAGATGCCCCCATACATACACGGATGCGATGAACACAAGACCCATTTTTGGAGTGTTGCAGTCACATGCCTACTTATAACCCTTGTACCTGAAGAATAAGAAAAACACAAAACATTGACCTGAGGAGTATGAAAAAATTTGACATTCTGTGAGGCTGCAACAATTATGAGACTCACGATTCAATACAGTATTCGAATCGGATGAGGGATGACCAGATGACTCGCCACACTCAAATGTACTTGTATCCATAATGAAAGAAAATATAACTGGGTGTATATAACTACATTAATGGAGGACCAAAAAGAATCATTCAGGGTACAAATTCACACACCTGCCACTCCAAACAACAAACAAAAAAAAAGACTCGGCATTTGTTTCCTGCTCCCCCTACACACCAAGCTCTGACCAAATTCGTCTTCCCATCAATATCTAGTGCTCTGCGAAGCTAATGTGGCTCTCATCATCTTCTCCTCCATTGGTAAGCTCTTTCGTTGTCGTCCAACGGAAGCGTCGATAAACATGGTCAAATATGAGGATGATTAACGAAATCCATTTTTTCATGGTAGCTTCATCGTCAGCTAGATTGTGATGGTAGGGTTCATCGTCGAGTCGGGGAATGAATTCCTGGCAAAAATTCATGGACTATTTTCATCCATGTTGGCCTGCGATTTGCGACTGCTACCGGCAATGTTGCCGGAAACGTGCCGGCCGACGGTGATCGTTGACAATTAATTGTTATTAATACCGGTTATAAACCAAGGGAATAGAGTCTGCCAAATTTGTAGCCAGTAATTAATAGGTTTTTTTATAATTGGCATCTCAAGGCTTTCTCATTTTTCGTTAAAGTTTGAGATTAGCTTTTATTGTCATCATCTTTATTATTATTATTATTATTATTATTTTAGCTTATCCTTTATAATGGCATCGTCCGTTTCGGACTCAGAAGTCCCTATTTGGGGTTTTAATTAATACATCACTTATTTGATGCTACTGGATTTTAATGGCCCGTTATAAGTAATTAGTGAGTCACTAATGCAATCTCTTTATTGCACTTTACAATCATTGATGGTTTACTTAAATCTTGATTTATGAGATGAAAAGAATTAAAAGGGAATTCATTTTCGGTCTTAATACTACTTAATATTACTATTGGTTAGCTCAATCTAGCTATCTAAGTCGGTGTCATGTTTGCTGTAGATTCTGAGAAAGTATATAACACTTGTTCTTCCATTGTCCCCTTGTCATCCAGTTATAGTATTTTGTGGGATTAAGTGATATGCTTGTTTCGGCCCCGATTGTGATTTTTTATTTGTAGTAGCATCAAGTTATGCTAGTTAAGTAGTCCCATACACATATTCTCCAAGTAGTATGCCTATTATGGAGAATATGGAAATCAAGAAATAAGTGGTATTTAAACATACCCAGTCTTATGTCCGTTCGCTTGCCCACCAATCCTCGTTTCAGTCCCGTGAAGCTTTCTCCTCCTTGTCTCCTGCCTCGTTCTCCTGTGTATGCTAGTCCTCTCTGGGAAGGTCCTCCTCAAGACCATCTGAAGATCAATTTCGATGTTGTTGTCAAATTTATGGTTGCTCGCCTGGCCTTGTTGTTCGTGGCTCGGACGGGCATGTGCTTCTGCCCTTGGGTGTCCAGCAACAGTGGATCTCTGACATGTATCCTGCAGAACTCCTTGCAGCTTCTTGAAGTTTGTCTTGGTCATACTCCATAAGATGCAGAAGTTGTCATCCTTCGAGATTATCGCCTTTTTCTTGAGTATTTTTTCATTGTATAGAATTTAGTGTGGTTCCGTGGACTGCCAACTGGACTGCTCATAGAGTGGCACTTAAATTCCTGTTGTTGTCTCGGTTAGAGTTAGCATCTTTTCATTTTGTAAGGTGATTTGTTTGTGGGATAGGGAGGGATTGTGGGTAGTAGCTCTTTCTAACTATTGTCTTGGCATTACTCGGGAGGGGGGGGGGACAACAAACAAAAAAAATCAGTCACTTCATCTAAATATAATAAATATTTGCATATAAATATAATAAGATGTATTGAAATAGTCCCCTTAAGGTGTCAGAAGAGGATTCCAGAGCGTCGTTACCCAGACAAAATATTAGTGCAGAGAAACAGCACTTCAAATGAACATGGAACCCCGTATTCATGCACTAACCTTCTGGGTTTCACATAAACCATTCGGCAAAATCAGAGATAGATAACTTAAGCTTCATAATAAACTTGCAGACAACTGTTAGTGACTTTTGAATGTTAATAAAACCACATGGAAATGACAATGGAGTGATTCTAGAAATAGTTGGGAGATACATAAAGAACAGACTTGGCAGGCTTGCATACTTTATACATCTAGCGGCATCATTAATTTCTTACAATAGGGCCTAAGCAACCCAACGAACAAAAGTGACAACCATCCTTACTAAAACAAAAGACATTTACAACAAACAAACACATTCGGTAAACAAATAAACAAAATAGAGTCTGGTGGCAAATCGGAATATAAGCAAAAGGAATACTGAAAGGAAGAACATCTAGAGATTTATAACTTAATTGAATGGTGAAGACCACCCTGTCAGCGGACGGAAAAAATTACCTTTAAAAATGCATATTCGATGCATCGGCAGCCGGCGATGAGAGCTTTACAGACGCTGCAATTGTTTCATGTTGGTCGGCAGAATAAAAACCTCTTTTGGATTCGATTGCATAAGGGATAACACGTTTAATGGGTAAAGTTCTATTCGATGAATAGGCAGCCGGCGATGAGAGGTTTACAGACGATGCAGTTGTTTCATGTCGGCTGACAGACTAAAAACGTGTTTTGGATTCGATTGCATGAGGGAGAACCCAGTTAATGGGTAAAGTTTTGAGTCTCCTCGACAGGGGGCGGGGAGGGAAGCACAGAGAGATGAACAATGGGCGGAGGAGGAGAAGGTTTGGTGAGGCGGCGGGATTTCACGGCCACGAGATTGAAACAACAGTTGGGCCCGGTTTAGTTGACACTGCCTTTTACGACCGCTCAGAAGAGGCAGGAAGAAAAACCCACCTTTCTCAAACTACCCCTCCGAGAAACGCTCTTTATCAGGAAATTTGATATGGAGGCTGAAGTTTTTCCATTTGGCTTTTATTTATTGTGTAGATAGATAATTATTATTATTATTATTATTATTATTATTATTAAGTGCCAAGTTCCAAGAAATTCGGAGTCACTGTTCACCAAGAAATTTTTGGAGTTCACTGTTCGCAGTGGGTTTCAATTCTGCTGCGGGCCAGTTTTTGTAAGCCCGTATTGACGACCTTGGGCTGGCCAAGCGTGGCCATTCTCTAAAAACCCCTACTTCCCTCCCTTCTCTTTGGTTCCTTTCCCCCATCAATCTCAATTGAAAATCCCTATCCTCCCCTCTGCTGAGCTATTTAACTTCTCCCTCTTTGTCCCCTCCTATGAACGACCTCAATGGCTGTCGGAAGTCGAATCGAAGCCAAGGGAAGATACAAGGATCCCACCTCCTGAACGGTAGAACGACACTCTAGCGAATGACGGTGTCGGAGATGTTGTCTTTTCACATCCCAGGCTCCCTATTCAATCTGCACCTTCTCCTTCCCCCGATGCTTCATCACCCAAGTTCGTTCCGATTTCTCCAAGTTGGTCGCCTCATCTGGGCAAAGTCGAAGCCCTCGCCGCCGTCTCTACAATCCATCTCCTTCTGCCTCAGACACTGACCACCTCACCTTTGAGAAGCTCAACCTTGGCATTATCTCAGGACTCTAAAACTTGAAAGTAACTAAGTAAGTGTATCCCTTCCCAATCGTGAATTGACATTTTCAGTGATTTTTTATTTTTTACCCCAAAATAAAAATTGCTATTAAAGTGCAGAACCGGACAATCACTCTAATAGTTTGAGGAAAGAACATAATATCATCCAAATTTCCTCTGTTTCAAGGATTTTAAAGGTTGTTAGGAATAAACCCCTCTATCCAATCTCTCCAGTGTTTGGTGTTGTTCTTCACCTCTTCTTAAAATAAAGTGTAGTGGCATTGATTAGTTTTTGGAAGGAAGAAAATGACAATAAATGGATTATGGTGGGTTCTTCTAGGCTTCTCTTTTGACAAAATTAATATGTTATTAGCCTCCTGTGTTTCTTTACAAGCATCATTAGCTAGGGGAATTCGATTTGTATGGATAATTCGGAAAACTAGACCATACAGTAATGCAGACTCCTCAATGTAAAATTCAGGGTATCATGTTCGGTCTTAATGATACAACTAATTCTCTCATTTTATTATCATTCTACTCTTAAGCTAATTCTCTTGCTTTCATGTCAAATTTCCCTCTGATTTCTTATATGTTGTATTTCAGTTTGGCATGAACTCAGAATTTCTGTCCCATCCTTGCAAGCGGTGAAAGTATAGTACATCCAGAACCTAGAGTTTCCACTTCTTTGTATTGGATGCACATTAGATCGATTAGTCAAAAAATTAAATGCACGAGTTGTTGTTATTGCTGTTCTAACAATTTTTGTGGTAAGTGGAGAGTAAGCACCAGACCCAACATTTTGAAGGTTCCATTTCATTTTCATGGTTTGTTCTGTTCTTGACCATAGAAAAGGAAGTATTGCAAATAAAGCAATAGTGTTTATTGTATATTTCAGTTCTACATCCTCTACTCACTGTTGTCAATTTCCTATTATTGCCTCCGAATGTTGTGGGTTGGATGTGTTTTCCCAACAAAGTAGATCAGTTTAGGAGGGTAGTAAGCGGTCATTTGCTTGATCTTTAATCAGAAAGTAATATTTAAATTTACTCTGTGTTACATGAATGCAGGTGTACAGAGTTCCACATTGCCAAAGATACTATCAGAGCTTTAAGGAAGACCCAAAAGGTCGCGAGGG